CAAGCGGTGCATTGTATCTATAATTTCTTTTTCATGGCAATAATTAAAGGTCAAGTTCACTTACATAGCGGCATTTTATTTTCATAATGCAAAAAAAAGTAATAAAAATAAAAAACCGAAAATTCAGCATTATAAAAACTTAGCGTCTGTGTTGATGATTTCGTAGACTTCATAAAAAATAATAATGATGTTCATGGAAAGGGCAGTCGAGAAAGTGTGGAAATATGCAATATTGTAAAATTATACAAAAACGTGGATATTACAATTATAATATTTACATACATACTAACATTTTACATACATCATAACTCATGAGTGAAATATGCTAATATTGTAAAACGAGTTGGATTTTTAAAAGGAACTGGTCAACCAAGAAACTATTCTAATCGTTTCTGTTAGAATAAAAGTATACCATATATGTACCTCTTTAAATTCTGATTCTATTTAATAACTCATTGGTCATTGTACTCATGTTTTGTAAAAGCTGGAAAATCTGTTTGTTAGATGTATTTTTCGGATAATTCCGTTGTCGGTTTGGAAACTCTAATATTACTAACTAGCATTTTTCGGTTAAGCTTGTTTTCAATTCAGTAACCATTACTCAAAAAATCTGAACAAAAAATCTGAACAAAAAATTTGCGACCGATGTAAGACGTCTGTTGGTATTTGAAGTTAAAGTTTTCCATCACGCACAGCTATTTTTGTTAATTTAGTAAATGCTGGTGATTCGACCACACTCCTTTACTATGTGTTAGGAGATTTTAATTATCATTTTCGGTTTTAAGAACCTAAAATTAGCAGGAAACAGTCATTCACATCACTGTCGCAATATGACTGTAAACTAGTGTGATTTTCGAAAGTTGTAATTTGTATTGCGGATCTATGTCGTCAACTTTTTTTTAACTAGTAAAACTTCTGGTTTTACATTCTTTTTATTCGACTAAATTTATAAAGATTTTCGAACTTCTTCAATTTCAGAAACAATAGTATCAACTTGTATGTATATCTACGAGTTTATGTACGTATAAATTGTGAGAAAAAAGTAACCGGAAATTGTAAATAAGACGCAAAATATTTAATTATACATCGATATTAATCTCTACCAGATATGATACACATATACCAACTATTTTTCCAGGCCTCGAAACACCTTTTATAAGCACTTTTTGGGATGGCCTTCAGCTCCTTCAGCGAATTTTGTTTTATCTATTTGATCGACCGAAAAGAGGTTCTACTGCGCTGCATTTCAGTTTGGGGAACAAGGAAAAATCACACGGAGCCAAATTTGACGAATACGGTGGTTGATCGATAGGATTCATTGCTTTTGTGGCTTAAAATTCGCTCACAATCGTGGCTATATGCAATTGTGTATTATCATCGTGTAGAATCCATGTTCTTCCACAATTCCGGCCGTTTTCGACGAATGTTCTTATGCAAACGCCTCAATACGCTCAAATAGAGCTCCTTATTCACCGTCTGTCCCTCCGGAACAAAGTCATGATGCACCAAACCACGAATATCGAAAAAACTATCAGTATCACCTTGATTTTTGAGCGACTTTGGCTAGGTTTCTTTTGGTTTCGGCTCGTTTTTTCCACTCCATTCCGATGATTGTTGACTCTTCATGAATATGAGATCGAAATCCGCATGATCAAGCATATCCAAAACATTCTTTGTGGTACTATTTAAAAAAAAAAAAAAAAAAATTCAGCTTTATCTAGCAGAGTCGAACAAAAACGCGTTTCATACCCAAAATACACATTAAAATCATTCAAAGCGACTCGCGAGAGATGTCGAGTTCTCAAGCAATCTCGCAAACACATGCCTGACGCTATTCAAGTACCGTACTCCTCACTTTTTTAACATTATATTTTCATCTGTTGAAGAGGTCTAAGGTATATTCTAAGGTCTATTTTAAAAATCGCAACGCACTACGCAGGTGTACCGACTTAAGCAGCTGCTGTAAACAAACTGTCATAACAACTTAGCAAATACATTTTGAAATATATCGGGGAATTTAATTACAATTTCGGGGTGCTTTTTTTTGTCACAATGTATTTACGTCATACTACAGAATTAATTTCTTACTGTCATTATCGTTGTAAAAATTCCTTGCGTTGCTCTTACTTCCACCAACATACGTACTCTGTGTACTTATATACACTTGCACATTTGGAATCACATTGCTCTCTTGTCTTCTACACATTTTTCTTTCTTAGATGCAATTGCCTGTCGAAGTTGTGGTTTCTGATAATTTTGAAGGGGTCAAACCACACAATGAGTTGAGCAGAAATTACGTTTCAAAGCAACGGTCGTAGCTAAAAGTAAACTTAATTGGTTGAGGAAAACTTGTGCACACTTTCCGTTGATTGGTAAATCTACTAGAATTTATTTGAAAAGTAATGAAGATAGCCAGCTTGTACGAGCAGGGATGGATATTCAGCACACGTTTATGGGCTTAACGGTGATGGCAGTAGTTGGGAATTAATGAACAATTTCATGTGACTTTAATAAGCAAAAGGTAAATACGATACATTATTATTTAGAGGGTTGCAAAGCGTCCCTTTTTATCAGAAAATGCTGAGTAAAAAAATTTTGCTCATATGTGTTTAATTTCGGATAGATCTGCTAATTGTTCTCCAAAACATTTACCTTTTGACTTCTAGAATGTTAGAAATTAGTTGCAAGTTTTCATTTGGAACCTTTGGTTCTCCTTAAAATCTGTTCGTGAAGCTTAGTATGTTCTCGGTTGCTCGGAGATTATTTTTATTATTTTCTTCAGTTACTTTTGGATTATACTTGAATGGAAGGTATTTAGTCGAATCTATTTAGTTTTAAACGTAAGGAAAATGACGTGCTGGTGAGAACTTTGCCACACTCCGTTCCTTCCTGCTTTATTAAAACCCCGTTTCATGCAATAACTTCGAGTGCTTCACGCACATCCATTTTCCATTAAGGTTCATGTTCTTCTCTTCTCATTGGTGTCGTCGCGCTTAGTCTTTTCTTGCATGCGTTTCATGGTTATTGGAATTCATAACCAAGAGTAACATATTAGAAAATGGTTGTCTGTAGCAGTTGTAAGCAGTCAAGGACTATACAGGTTGATGAGGCCAGTTTAATCATGTTGCTATTGTTGTAGCGGTTATCTAATTCCCGCTTGGGTGGTGAGAATCCGGTTGGTTGTCATCGAAGCCATCAAACTGTAGGCTCAGGAATGTTATGTTTTGATGGGGTCTCGTCATAGGAAGAGGGGTGTTAGACGAGTGGGATTCACAGGATTCGATTTTGGATAAGTAGAAGTTTAACCTGGTATAGTATCTGTAACGATGTCGCGCGATCCCACGGCAGCCGGTTCTACATTTCCGGAATTGACCCGGATTTTATCCGGCCAAGGGCTACTATTTCGGCAATCTCAAACATATTTGTGTACATAAATACGGTCGATTAAGTTAGACCAATTATGAGCCCAATGGAGAATCAACATTATTTGGGTCATGCTTTTTACCGCTTCAATAATAACAAAGCTTTTAGCTCGTGCTTTACAAGAACAAATGTTAAGAATTTTGCTGTGTTAGGCCGCTGAGGCTTGATTAGTCAGAGTATCTTTCACATATTTTACCGAGGTAATTCCTGCGAGCAGTTGAGTTGTCGGTGTTTTGTAATCCCGACAGGTCGCAGCGAAATTCCAAACACCTGCCTCTATTAAAAATTTTTTACATGTTGATGTGTGTACATCTCACTCTGTTATTTGTTTATAATATGGCATGATAGATAACCGTAATTTAAAAAAAAATGTATCCCCGACAATGGACTGTTTTAAAAACAAACACGTATCTTTGGCTCGTAGGATTCATATTTCTGTATATAACTACTTCCGGTCGCACCTACTAAACCCGGCCTTACCTTCTTTGCTCTTACATTCTTGCGTCTTGTTACAAATTTTCATGCGCTTGCTCTTGGCTAGTCGCTCACTATGGCCCACCGACCCATCAACCGACTTGCAACACGCCATGCTTATGTAAATATGTCTATATAAGAGATTTGTGCACACTTTTTATTAGCTACACATATAGACAGATATACATTATGTTCATTCGTGAGCCGAGTAGCTGCTAGCAGTGGTACATGCATTGTTAAATATTTTCCAGCTATTGTTTTGTCATCCTCATTATACACGAACACACCTTCGTACACATCTGATGGATTCATACTTAACGGCGTTGTGGTTATTTTGGTTATTGTTATTGATACAGTTGCAGGCAGGCATGCTCGTGGGTGGAAAAGCGCCACTTAGATATGTATACACATAGGTTCACAAGCCACCCCTGACTCTCTACTTGTCAGCTTGTTCGTATTTTGCCAACGCTTCGTGTTGTTTGTAAGTTGTTTCTTACTATTTTTTCCTCTTCATTCAATTTTCTTTTCACTTTGCTCTGCCGGGAAAATTGCACTGCACAAATTGAATTAGTTGTGTGCTTGTTCTGCAGTATCGTTGGTGGCGTGAATGTCTGGATGACGGCAAAAAGTCAAGCCTCAGCGGTGTGTGTGCGCGAAAAATATGACAGTTACGCGTATAAAAGCAACAATAACATTAAATAAAAATAATAATCGTAATTCATTCATAGACCTTAGATGGTTTAATGGGGAAAATTGCATTGCAAATGCAAAATTAATGCAAAAGTGAAATTATATCAGTTACATCGCATACATACATACATATTTATGTGCAACATTTCACCGTTTCTTTGCCAGCAAACAGTGCTGGTGTCTTTATTGTTGCTGTGTGTAATGCAAGCAGCTAGTCGCCCGGCGTCAGCAAGAGTTGCCTCAGCACAGATGCAATTTCACTGTCTGGTCGCTCAGACAGCTGCTTCGCGGCGCCTCAACTGATTAGTGATAAAAAGTTGGTGATAAAATTTGTGATTAAAAGTGCTTTATATATTAACCACGCCTTTCATTTGCATTTGTTAACTTTTGTTCTCCTTTTGTTCAATTTACAGTCGGTCCTAAAACTGTGTAAATACCAAAAAAAAAGGAGGCAGATTCTACAATCGCATACTGCAGGTTGAAAAAAGGAGCAATCAGCGAAAACATACCACCCCCACATATACACACAAATAGAGGATAAACACCAACGAAAGCAGCTGACCTTCGTGTTCGCGTGATTTCGCACCGGTCTGCTGCAAGGGCACTCTATTGATTGCCCTTCGCATGTGTCGCGTTCAGTGCAGCTTGCCGGTTGTGCCTAACTAAGCGGCACAAGCGACGTCAACACCGACCAGCAGGCAGCAAATCGAGTGCCATTGCCGCACACTACATACATACATATGTATGTGTATAAATGCATCTGTATCCATAGTTTCACAGTTTTACTTCCTCAATAGCAAATACATAATAAGTAGCAATAACTAAAATACACTAATAGCTAGTGTGCTAGAGCAACACCAACAACAACAACCACAAGATGTTCAATTTCATGAAAAAGGGCGTATCCTCGGTGAGCGGTGGCAGTGGCGGTGGTGGCGACGACGAAAAGGAACGTCGCAAACGTGAGAAGAAATTGCGTAAAGAGGCTAAAAATGCTGGCGTACTATCGGGCAGTATGAGTACTGAGGAACTGCTGCGGCTGGATGAGGTGCGCTTCCAAATATTTTAATTTTTTCATAAAATATTATAACTTTTCGTTTTTCTTTGTTTTACAAGGTTCGTCGTTCGCTGAAGATACGCGGTCGGCGCAAAGAGAAGGAGAAATTGCCCAGCGGCATAACAGCTGATTATAGTGCAGAATTTTTCGCCCAATTAGATATAGACCGTGCAGCGTTAAGCGCCGAATTGAGCGGCGAAGGTGATAGCATTTATGAATTGGATCGGGGCAATGAAGAAATTGAGGCATCTGTGACGACAACCATTGAGAGTCGTTATAATGGCGGTGGTGTGGGTGCTGCTGCTGCTGGCGGAACTACTGGTGCCATGAGTATACATTCCATGCTGGCGGCCGCTGCGGCTAGTGGCAATGGAAAGGTAAATTGCATACTTATGGATACAATTTTTAGTGAGAGAAGCTATTTTAATTGTGAATGTTTATAATTAAAACGAATGTTGAAAAAGTTTTTATGTTACTAATTTAAAGAATTGCGACGGCTTTTCTAAGCATACAAAGTATTTACTTAGGAAATTTGCCTTTTGCAAATCTTAAAAAAAAAGAACAATTACATACATATGTTACACCTTGGTAATATTTGTGGATCTACCACATGAATGGCTGGCTAGCATGACCGCTCGAGAATTGTTAAAGCTCAGAGAAGTCATAACGCCAAAATATAGATGGCAAGTATATAATTTATGAAACTTAATCTTATCGGGAGGCTTGACCGTTGGTTCCACCATTCTATAGTTTATCACTATCTCAAAATTCTAACCGGTATTCGGATGGACCATTTTTCTGGATATAATAAGTTAGTTTATGAAGTGGGGGTAATCTTATAACACTTATATTTATAATATAAGAGTCAAAATATGCAGGCTAATTAAAAGCATCTTAAATTGTCCAATTAACAACAATATTGGATTGCTCTTAACTTTAAATTATTTGCCTTTGCTCTCTTTAAATTCAAAACCAGTTAGAACTAACTTCAATATTTTCTTCAATATTGCAGCATCGCTCACTGCCGCCTGTGCCACCGAAACCTCCGAAGCGTGGCATACTGAAGGGTTCTCGCAGCAACATATCCAATGTACATGAAGAGATAACGATCACATCGCCCGAAGCACAGCTGCTCGTGATGCGCAACACAATGCAAAACGAGTTGCCCTTCGATGGTAGTCGCAGCAATAGTATAAGTGGTGCAGCTACTGGACGCAGCAGCATGGGTGCAGTCGGTGGCGCCGGCAGTGCAGGCGTTAATCCTCATACGAGCAGCGGCACCGCCTTCACCTCGGTGGAGAGTTTGCGTAGCGATGAAGGTGGTAATGCGGGTATACAACGCGCTATGACACTACCGACGACGGCGCGCTACGCACCACAACTCCCACAGCATCACAGTGCCAATCTGCGTGTGATGACCTCACCCTCACCGAGCGCTGACAGTCTCACAGATACGACAAATTCTTCCTTTGCCACGCCACCATTTTCTTTGAGTCCCGTTGGTGAGTCGCAGGGTATCGATCGGTGGTCGCGTGTTCATGCATTCGAGGATGTGGAATTACCATTGCCACCAATTAAATTAGTGCAATTGCCACCGGCGCGTGAATTAGTGATTAGGCGGCAAAAATCGCCACGCAATGATTTCGGTTTCAGTTTACGCAAAGCGATTTGTCTGGATCGCGCGGAATCGCTGACCTCGCCCACATTCAAACCGGTCATATTTGCTGAACCTGGTGCAGGTGGTGGCGCTACCGGACTGCTGCCGGGTGATCGTTTGCTCAAAGTGAATGGCACGCCGGTAAGTGAGCTGTCCCGTGAGGTGATCATTGAGATGATACGTAACAGTGGCGATTCGGTTACAGTAGAGGTGAGTGGAAGAAATTTAAGTCACATTTGATAATTTTTTGCTCATATTTGAAAATCTGCGCAGGTACAACCCGTTTCGGAATTAGTGGAGCTGAGTAAGCGCTGCATGCCACCACAAGGTATTGGTGTTGTCGCCAATGCTGATGATGAAGTGGATCGCGCTGCAAGGAATGCAAATTGCAATACGCTTAAGAGGAGTGCTAGCAAGCGGTTTAAACAGCAGGTAAGTGATTGTGTATTATATGTAAAGAATAAAGATTAAATCTCGTCAGGTGTACATATTCTCCGGGTCACCAAATCACTTGCACTACGAAATACATCCAAGGGATGTAAGTCCAAATCCTCTCTGGGAAAAATATTTACACATTTTTTAAAACGAAGCATTTTATCCTTCATAGTCGACCCATGCCTACTTATATGGTGAGGCATGACTGAGAAGTTATTAAAATTTTCAATATTTACCTAACATATTGAAAGTCGTCCGAATGGATGGATGTATGTAAATTATTCCAATCATTTTACATATTGGTCTTATTGTATGGAGCATTTGTAACCATTTACAACAATAACTACCATTTCATTAGAATCCCTTCAGGAAAAAATGTACAATTTATGGTTCATTTTATATATATATAATTTGGAACGAATATCTTTTAAAACTCTTATATGTATATCATTTTGAGAACCATATATGCTTCTTGTGAATACTCCAAACACTTCCAAAGGAAGGGAAGGAGACAATTTGTAGGTTGTTGGAAACGTCATTGCTTGAAAAAGTTCTGTAAAAGTCTTCTCCGATTCAGAAACCGTTCTTCTTTCCTCTTCGATTTTCAGCTTCTTACTACCTTTTGACCTCTTAGCTTCGAGTCCCTAGCGTTCTTACATATTTTTTAATTTCTTCAAGGGACATAGTTGAAAGAAATAATATTTGCTTTCCAAACGGATTATCGTCGCTCAAGCCGTTTGACAAAATATGAAGCAGTAGCACCCCATAATTCCATTAAAATGTATGCTATCGAATTGCTTGCAACATGCTACAACTAATAATGCAAATTTACATCACTATACTTTTGCTCTCAAACCAATGAAAGCGAACTTGTCCGTATATTAACATTCGTATACATACACAACGGCGCTTGCGTAAATTCTCAAATAAATATGCTATGACACTTTTAAGCTGTAATAAAAAGTGTTATAACGGCTTGTATACTTTGGCTAATGCTTCGAAAAATGTGCGAAACGACGAGTATTAACACGAAATGCACCACAGGAGTTCGCACGCATGCATTAAAAAAATAATATTGTTGCACATAAATAACGGCTGACTGCTGACAGTGACAACAAGAATGCGAACAACAAAAATTTTAACTTCGGTTGCGTCGAAGCTATAATACCCTCCATAAAATAAAAAATATTCATATAAGAACTTGATTTTGAGCGGTCAGTTTATTAGTCAGCTATATGAAAGTACGAAAATTGTATAGCTTCTTTTGACAATAAGCCGTGCCAAATTTTTTTAAGATACCTCGGCAATTGAAAAAGTTTCCCACACAAGGAATCTATTCCGCTCGTTCAGTTTATATCTGCTGTAGTGGTTCAATAGCGGCGGTTATGACAAATAAGCAGCCCCTTGGCTGTCGGCAACTTAAGCGACTAGTTCGATTATACAGACGGACAGATAAATGGACATATCTGAATTGACTTAGCTCGTCATGCTGTTCCTCATAGGGTATACAAATTTAGCGAATGTGTCAAAAATAAAAGAAAAACAGTTGGTACACACCTCTTAACAACTGACAATTTAAGCCAAAAAAGAGTAAAAAATATTCGTATGTGCCTTCAAAGCGAATTAAGAATGAACCTTAGACAAATATTTACCCATTTGTGAACATGGGCATTATGAGGCATTTATATGTGTTTGCGAGTGTGTGTTGTATATTTGTATAGATCGTAATAAAAATTGAACAATTAAAGCGACAGAAGGTGATGTGAGTAACCAATTACTCCTTAGCTATATATCGTATAACCTATGCTGAGTTAGATAGGGTTCCACGGGCGAAGGCGTTGTGCGTTGATGTTTGCACCACGGAATGCAAATTTACTTTTTTGAATTTTTTCACAGATATGCCTTGCAACATCGCCGAGAAGTAGCAAAATGTTGTTTAAAAATTTTAAGTGTTTGTTGTTGTTAATAACTATCAGCAATACGACTAATCTTATAACAGTTAACTGGCATATAAAGCCCAGGAATTGGAAAAAAGGAAACAAAAAAAAAAAAAAAATTAATAAAATCAAAAATGTATTGGTCTCTGCCAGCTGCAATTTATTATGCAATCACTCATTTTGTTTTGACAGTATTGATGACTACACCACACTTTGATATTGTTCTACTCATCAACATATAATAACTCATTTGTATGTATAATGATATATTTGAAAAGGAAGTATGTCAAACATTTTTTGAAGCCAAGCCTATAAATTCGTGGGGGTATGCTTGGAAGTTTTTAGTTATACTCAATTTATTGTGGAATTTTTTAAAAATATTTTCATACTTTTATTAACATTCATATTTACTTATTGAGTAGGGTGTTCTAAGGAGCGCTTAAACATATTTCACGTAATTAACGTTTTTAAATTTATTATTTTCTATAACTATTTACCGCAATTTTTTTTTTTGGTAAATGGCCATTTATTTTACTTCACAATTTGATTTGCGTTTTATAATGCTAATTATAGTTTCATATTATTTATTTTGATACCATTATGTTTTGTAATTTTTCAATCCAAATTATATAACACAATTGTTTTTTAATTTATTTAAGTATTTTTATTTTCAATTTAGCACAATGTGATTTGCTATTTAAATGAAAACATAATATATGTATGTTAAATTCAAGTTTAATATAGTTTTTATTATATTTTAATGAATACATTTATATCTAATCAAAGCAAATCGAAATTTAAAAAAATATACTTTTTTATAGGAAATTATTATAAATTTTAATTTATTTCCTATAAAAAATATATTTTTTTATTAAATATATTTTTTTATTAAAAATATATTTTTTTATTAAAAAAATTTTTTTTTTATCAGATACAAATTTATTTAATTTTTTAAATTTTCAATTTGAATATTTAGTTAATCTGTTTCAATTTGCCTTACTTAATTTACTAAGTAATATATAATTATTTTATTTTGTATCTCTTTTTTTTTGTAAAGCAGCTAATTTAAAATTTTAGTAAATTTAGCAAGTCAACTTTCATTTACAATTTTTGTTTTATTTAAACAAATTAAACATTAAAAATATTTTTTTTTGTTCGTTTCCTTTAAAAAATGTATTTACATACCAAATACATTTCTTTAAGTATTTCATTTAATTTTAATTAAAAAACGAAGAAAAAAGTAAATTCAATTTACCTTACTTTATTATAAACATGTATATTACTACAATATATTTTATTTGTCAAAAAGTCTTTAATACTTACGATATGGCAACGCCAGCGCAACCTCTGCTCCACCAACGCAAACGCATTTCGCTCCACGCTCAGCTGGTGTAAATACTGGTGCTGCTTGCTGCTGCTGTTTCCTACGCATTACGCGGCGCACAGTAGGCGATAATTGCAGCAATGCTAATTGAAACAATGTCTTGCTGCTTTTTTGCTCCGAGTTTTGGTTGTTTATTGYTGTTGTTGCTTCTCTTCTGCTGCGATTGCATTGTTTTTCTCGCAACTTCTAACTCTCAGCCTTTTATATTTTTAGCGCGTTATTGACTTCAGATAACCAGCGCTCTCACAAATACATGCGCACAAACCTACTCATAGGTACATTGTGTAGAAGTCAGCGATCGCCACTCCAACTCTGCTGACGATAGTTTACCATACCTACATATTTTTGTTGGGGAGCCGCGGTACCACTACCAAGACAGCCGGTGCGCCGCCAGCGCGCAACTTTGCCACATTCAACTGGCAGCAGCTTAACACCGTCATTTAGTTTGTTTGTTAACTTTGTTATGCGCGGTCGATTCACAAGCTCAAGCCGATCGTGTTGAACTACCACAGCTATACTGCAATTCAATTTAATTTGTTTTGAAGTAAATTCCTAAACTTCAGCATAACTTTAACTCTGTTCGACAATTAAGGGGCGTGCGTGTGAAATCTGAGCCCTTTGTCGCGTTGTGCTGTTCCGTTAACAATTTTTTTTTTTTTTGTATTTAGTATTCGCCCCTTTGTGTTACATTGTGTATACATACATTCGTATGTGTAATTGTGGTGCATTTAATAATTTTTTATTTTTGTTTTTGTAACATCGATGTCATCAGCGTGCAATCATCACCAATGGCCGGTGTTTAATTTTTCCTCGTGTGGTTCTTCGATTTGATGGCCCTTTAATTGTCGTTTTTAATTAACTATTTACATTTGTCGGCCTTTGTGTTTGTGTTGTAATCGGTATTTTCAAAGTGTTTGTTGTTACTTTCGTATATACTCAGTTGGAGGCACAGCAATCAAAGAACAGTGTTTGTTGAGAGTTTCCCTTTCAAATATTTCTAATACTTAGTGATTACCTCTCTAATTGATTTATGAGCTGTCAGTTGAAGAAGCTATTGATTTCATTCATTAAAATTCGTATATGCAAAAACAAAATAAAAAAAAAATAAAGTAAAAGTAAAACAACAACATTAATTACACTATAAAATTCAACAACTAATTGCAAATATATACATATTTAATATAATATAATATTGCTTAAAATAACATAATATGGCATAACATAACATTATGTAACATAACTTAATATTAACGTAAAAACATTACATAGCCCAACAAAAAAGTTCCACTTATCATAAAAAATCTAAGTATAAAAAAATATAATTTTAATATCCTGGATTTGGAGTTTAATTTAAATTTTTTGTTTTTGTTTTAATAAAGCAAAACAACTTTAAAATGTTACATACAAAAAAAAAAAGAAAGGTCTGCATAGACTTCCATGCAGTCGTAAAAAAGGAAACATATGGAAAATATTCTGAAGTTTCGAAAGCTCTTTCGTTCACTATTAAAAAAATATGTAATAACACAATATTCTATGGACTAGAGAAGCCTGAAAAAGTTATTTACATTGAATTATTGCAGTCGGATCATTAAACCTTCAGAAATAGTTTTATTGACTTGAAAGCCATATGCCTGCATTTCCCCGACTGCATTAAATTTGAACTTGTGGTCAAGAAT